CTTCTTCTTCTTCTTCTTCTTCTTCTTCTTCTTCTTCTTCTTCTTCTTCTTCTTCTTCCCCTTTTCCTCCTCCTCCTCCTCCTCCCTCTTCCTCCTCCCTCCTCCCTCTTCCCTCCTCCTCCTTCTTTTTCTGTCCTGGGAATCCAACTCAGGACCTCACACTTGCCAGGCAGGCACTGTGCTGCTGAGCTATGTCCCTGGCCCAATGGTTTCTTTCTGCTGAATAATTCTATCTCCATTTTTTCCTCTCACATTCAACTATAAAAGTGAGGAACACCAAGTCGCTCCTTCAACACTTTGCTGAAAAATCCCCTGGCTTCATGTCCACATTCATTACCCACGAGTTCTCCGTTCCATGGAATACTAGAACACACACAGCTGAGCCACACCCTGGCCACCATAAGTAACAAGAACCACCTTTCCTCTACTCTCAGCCACATGCTCCTCACATCCACCGGAAGCCTCACAAGAAAGGCCCCTAGCCTCTATCCTTCTACCAACATGTGAGTCCCGGTTACCACAAGTAAGAGAATACAATGTCCTCTGGGAAGAGAAACCCTTCTCTCTTATTTTCTGAGTCCTCGACAGAACTGCCTTCAGCATGCAATCCTAAGAGCTCCACGTATGTGGTCACTGCCCTCATAAGAGGGATCTCTCCTGTCCTCTCCTTTCTCTTCCCCTCCTTCCTCCTCTTCCTCTCTCCCTCTCTCTCCCTTCTCTCTCTCTCCCCCTCCTGCTTCAGCAAGAAGACAGTTGCCCGAGAACCAGGACTGCCTGTGTTGATCTTGGATGGTCTGGCGCTCAGAACCGTGACAAATAATTTCTGTGCAGTCTGTGGCATTGGTCAGAGTGACTTATGTGGGCATTCAGTGGACAGTGAGGTGACGACAGCACCCAGCAGGGTGAGTTCCAGGTCTCCCCCGGGACCACCCCCAGCCTGGTCCCCTTCCTGGCTGCTGCTGGGAGAGCTGGTTCCTCCCCTGCCCCCAGCTGCCCTGGAGCCAGATGACTGCCTAGAAGGCCAAGCAAGCCTCGGTCACCCAAAGCCATGGGTGTCGGGATCTTGTCCCAGCAGCTGGCAAGTGACTATTTTGTGTCCCTTTTGCTGTGCTTCGGGTGGTTTTGGTTCTGTGGACACTGATCAGACCACACTTGTGCTCCAAATCTCTGAAATAAGTGCCTCTCTGTCTTTGTAGCTCCAACTGACTTTGCCTCTGGCATCCAACCACAGAGCCGCCAGTTTTGACTCGGAAGGGACATATTCAGCTACTGACAGGTGGCAGTGTTGCTGACGCAGAATCAGGGATGCCTTTACAAACTATGTAGGAAGTGAGCTGACAGGAAAGCAGTAACTACAGTATCATCCTGGGACATATGGCCATACACCATGGCTGTCTTTAAATGGATCCAATGAGCCATTGTTCATATGTTACATTGTTGTATAATGTAATGTGTAGGTATATGAGTGTACATGTCGTATATATTCACAATTGTGTGCATGTGCTCCATCTTAGTTATTTACAATAAGTCCCGGACCCAGCTGTGGTGGCATGCGCCTGTAATCTCAGCACTCTAGAAGCTGAGACAGGAAGATTGCAAGTTTGAGCCCATCCTGGGGAATTTAGCAATTTAGAAGAACCTGTCTGAGAATTTTTTTTTTAATTTTTAAAAGGTTAGGGATGTAGCTCAGTGCAAATGCCCTGGATTCAGTCCTAGTACAGGAAAAAAGAATCCTAACATTAATTTAGAGCAATATAATTGAATTTAAGAAAGGCCTTTTAAAAATCATTTAGAATTACAAATACTGTCTATATTAGTAAACTGTTATATTACATATTTTATAAGCTAGCTATCCTTGGAACACTAGTATATTTAAACTAAATATAAGACAATACAAAGTAATGCTTTAAACCTTCACACTGAAAGTGTGAAGTCGTTACGATAGTTACTTTTTTGGTTTCTTAGTGTCACATGACTTCTCTGCTGTCATCCTCGATGCTGCCTTAGATGTGGGTACAGCGATAGCCTCTTCAAATTCCAAATGAAAGTCAAATGTCAAGGGAGTAACCAAGATTTTTCCTTTCTCTTCATTTTGAAGCCTGTTTTTCTGAAGCAAAGCCAAAGGAAGAAAAAAATTATTTTCCTATAGGGAAAAGCCTGTATGGACAAAACTTAATTTCACACACACACACACACACACACTGACTCACAGAATTAACATGCCAAGCAATAAGAGAAGAGTTTTACAGCTCGCAAGTTAGGCGTTTGTGCGTGGACTTTTACGCATTTGCTGCGCGACCTGAGGAACTCGTTCCCCTCTCTGGAAGTGGGTGCTGGGCCCGATGACCTCAGGCTCCCTCCCAGCTGTTAGGTTCTGAAGTGAACACGGACCCGTACATCGTCTTTAGCAAACGTGTCGATGCAGAGCGTGGCTAGAACACAGCAGGTATCTGTCTCTCCAACTGCTCCTCTCCTGCCCACAGCTGGAGACCCACACAAACTTTCTAGTTGTGTGAGGCAGAAATAGAGGCAGAGGGCGCAGCATGGTGGCGCACGCCTGTAATCCCAGCGCTTGGGAAGCTGAGCCACGGGGATTGCCGCAAGTGCAGGGCCAGCCTGGGCCACATAATAGGACTCTGCCTCGAAAAAGCAAACCAAACCAAGACCATATAAAAAACAAAACAAAAACCCAAAGAAACAGAGGCTGAAATCTGGGTTTGTTAGCACATTTGTATAATCCCAGTGCTTTGGGAGGCTGAGGCAGAGGGCTCGCCCAACCTGGGCAATTTAGCAACTTAGTAAGATCCTGTCTCAAAATAACAAATAAAGGCCTAAGGATGTAGCTCAGTGCAAAGGCCCTGGGTTCAATCCCCAATATGGAATAAAGGAAGAAGAGGAGGAGGAGGAAGAGGAGGAAAGGAGAAGCAATCAGGAGAGGTCTTTGTTAAATATTTAAACACGTGGGCTGAACAAAGAGGAAAAAAGTGTGAGTTAAAGAGCTGAATACTGTCTCTACAAATTTCTCGCAGGGCACAGAACAGAAGAATAAAGACGTAAAAATTTGGAAGCAAAGTCAAAGGAAATGGGAGCTTCTGCTTCTGTTGGAGAAGGATGCAGTTCTACAGGAGTTAGCTGTGAGGAGGCAGGAAATCAGAATACATGAATATAGCAGAATATATCCTGCAGCTGCAGGTATGGGGAAGCGACAGAGCAGATGGGACCCCGAAGAATGGGGACAAAGAGGGCGATCCCTCTGACCGGTGCACCTCCTAGGGCTGGGGCGGTTTCCAGGCTGAGGTCCAAGGAAGGGGAACCTGTGGGCTTGGGGGTGCTCAGACCAAATCTGTGGCCTGGGCCTTGCTGAGTGCAGGAGAACTCAGCGTGCAGATTCATGCAAAATCCCAGAACCTCAAGGTCCGTTACGTGTGGTGAAGAAGGCCATCTCCAGAATGGTTCTATTCCAAGAGCTTCTCAAGATTGCAAAGTTGTACGGAGGGAAAGTAATGCGGTGAGAGCCACAGGTAGAGACGGCAGCCCTAGTGCTGGGCTTACAGATGTTTGCCACCATGCCCAGCCTTGTAAAATAATTTTAAAAAAAATTACCACAGTGCTTGAGATCTTATCTTTATTTTGCATTAAAAAGGAAATAGGTAAAAATCTACCTTCCTGTACTGATGTATAGTCACATGATAAATTACATAAATTTATATATGGGATAGTGTCTGCAGGTATGTATCTTCATAAGAATACAAAAAAAATGTGAGTGAATAAACTCCATCTGTTAAAATTTGTTTTCCTCAAAAATAAACCTCAAAGGGGCTGGCCAGAGAGCTCAGCAGATTAAAGTGCCTGCTTAGACAGACAATCCCTGACCTGCTGTGCTAGCCCCACCCCCAGGGCGTGCTGAGCTGGTGATTAAGACTGGGCATGGTGGTGCTCCTGTAATCCCAGCGCTTGGGAGGCTGAAAATAAGATGATCACAAGTCCCATCTGTGTAGTGAGACCATGTAGACCCTGTACTAAATACATAAAATAAATAAATAACCTTACAGGGAAAAAGCCCAAGGCTTTTAATTTTTTTCTGTATTCAATTTTCTTTACATATAACTTTTTTTTTTTTTTTTTTTTTTTTGGTACCAGTGATTGAACTCAGGACCTTGCGTTTGCCAGGCAAGCACTTACTCTACTGAGCTATCTCCCTGGCCCTATAACTTTTAAATATATCTCTAGATATTGTTTAACTTAGTTTCCAAAGCAAGTTGTACACTTATACTTTAAGTTTTAAAAGATGATCACCATACAGCACATAATTTAAGAAAATATTTCCAGCAAACCAAAATTAAATTGTTCATATATACCAAAGATGTAGGTTTTGGGAACAATTGTCTTTGTTCTTATTTTTCTTGAACTCTGAGTCTTTCCCTTTTAAATGTACTTCATTGCTGCTTTTTTTCTTTTTTTTTTCATGGTCTTGCTATGCCATTCAGGCTGGCCTCGAGCTTGCTTTGTAGCCCAGGCTGGTCTGCTCCAAATGACCCTCCTGCCTCAGCTTCTCTGGCCTAGGCTCACAGGGGTGCGCCACCGTGCCAGGTTCATCGTTTCTGTAAGTTGCAATTATTGCTAATTCAGTAGGCACAGCAGATATTCCCACCCGCTTACCTGCTGAGTAGCTCTGTGTTTACTGCCTTGGTGAGACTGTACAAGCAGCCTGCCATGTTCAGTATCTTTCAGAATATGTATATTTTAGGTAGGTTTAGTATATACCATAAATAATAGCTATCTATTAGTTATTTTTCTTGTACTTCTTTTATTATTCCATGAGATAAATAACTCTTCTAATCATATTTGATTTTTATAAATTACATCTTCAGATGAATGCATCATTAACTCAAAAGCAAAATCACTTGCACCAAGACGTGAGAATCTGAACTGCTGACGCGCGGTTCGGCGCTCGCTTCACGGACCTTTGCTCGTGTGTCCAGGAGGGCCTTTGCCTGCGCATCCAGGACGTCTAATTTCTGCAGGACTCTTTCTGCCATCGTCATTCCGTAGATTGCTACCTTGAAAGGGGGAGAAAGAAGAAACCTCCAGCTCACATTTTAACGCATAACCGATTACTTGGGCAGGAGTGGAGACTCACCTTCACATTACTGCTTTAGGCAAATAAGAGAACTATGCAGGTCACGGAATGAATTACAGAATTACAAACAGGCCTGTTTTTCGTAGAAACCCATGTGATCAGAACTCCACATCTGTGTGGGTGCCTGAAATGTTTGTATTTATGACAAAGGGAGCTGGAGAAGCTTCGGGGTTCCTGTAGGAGAACCCCGTGTGACTCAAAGATGACATCACAAAGACTGTGATGCAGATAAGAGGTGTCACAGCATGGATGTAATTGGGAAAAAATGCTTTAAAATTCTTTTGCTATGAGTAAATTGTCTTGGCTGTGATGTGAATCTTGGCAACTTACTGTGTCTATCACAAATTGTTTTAAAAGTGGGAAGAACCAATTACTCTCATAAATGACAGTTCTATAAACACTAAACATAAATAAAACCAAGCCAAGTGATACTAAGAGAATCTCACTAGATGGTGCAGCTTTATATTTTGGAAGCAGTCTGCTTCCGTTCTATCTACCACCTTGCCATCAACATGGTCTCAAATGTCTGACGCTTCCTTCCAACACAGTTTATTTCTTCCATAATTCATATTTTTATTTTCTTTGGCTCTAGGAAGCATATGACTTCAGCAGCTTAGGTCTTTTCTGAGAATCCAGCCATTCCCTATCCTCTGTACAATGTCCTCTCGAATTCTGCTTTCTTTTCCCAATTTTTCTTGGTGACATTCTGGATTTTCTATCAGATTCTTATTCAGTGAAGGTCTCACTTACTTTTTCCTCAATGCAAGCACAAAAATATCTGACATCCAAAATGAAGGAAAGAAAAGTTTATTTAGCTCACAGTTAGTGGAGGTTTCAGTCCGTACTCGGCTGGCTCCAAGGCAGAGCGGCACGTGGCAGGGGACAGCTGCTCATGGAGGTGGAAAACAGCAAAGAGCCAAGAGGGAGGAGCAGCAGCTGCCGCGCCAGGCAAGCCTCTCTCCCTCCTTACACTGCATTCAGGCTCTCCGCCCCAGGACGGGTGCAGCACTCACACCCGTATGCCCCACGTTGGATCATGAATTAATCCAAACTCTAGAAGTCCACCCCCATGAGTGCATGAGGCTTTGGGGGACACCCAGACACAAATCATAGCAGTGGGCCTAAGCTAAAACTCATTGTTCAATAAGCCCAAAAATAGCCTCTGAATCCATGGTAACTATTAAAGAAAGCTGCCCCAATGAGCATTACCGTGTGTCCACAGCGAAACAATAATGTTTCATGTTCAGTAGATCTTGTCCTCTTCCTTCGTCAGCCTGGAGTGGGAGAGAGGATCCCACTTCCTCTGTGTGCAGGGAGGAGTCTGGAGTTTTCCCACTTGTGCTTACAGTTGGGGCAGCGATGTCACCTGGAACGCAGGTCCCTATGTGGCCCAGAAGCCTGCCTCATGGGGTCTCTCCGTAAGATGTGGCTCTTGCCAAATTTCAACTAGTAAAATCATTTTGAAAGGAAACTGGGTTTATTTCAGTTCTTCATTGCTAGGTCAGTAATGACCCTTTTTTAGGGGGATGGAAAGCAATGAGATGGGGAACTTCTCAGTTGGGGTGCAATGAGCCCTGAGTCGCTCCTCCCAGGAGAACACCCAAGGGCCTGTTTAGGGCAGGGATGTCAGAAGCTGAGTCAGAGCTCACCTTAGGCAGGGCGTGGAAGCAGCTGGTTTGAAGGTCGATATTTCCTTGTAAACATTTGTGCCACCAAGACTGCAAATGACCACAAACAAAACTAAACACTGTGATTCCACCAGCCCAAGTGGACGTTTGTAGCAAGTTCTACCAAAGGAAAATTCAGGCAAACCGAGAGTCTCTCAGCCCACAGACTAAGCTAGAGTCTAGGAAGTGAAGGATTAGCTAGAGATCTGCTCCCGCGATAGCTTTATCAGGACAAGTGTTCGCTCCTTGTGTGGCACTTTTATCTGACATTCAGCCCTGTGCGGGGAACACAGAAAGCTTGCAGCCGTCTGCCAGGGGTGAGTTTGCTCTCCAAGGTGAGCTCACAGCTGCATTCCTCCAGTCTACACTCCAAGTGCAGGCCCAAGGGAGACTTTTTCCTTTTAAGTCTGAAATGTTGATAAATGGCCCGTGTTATAGGTTTAAGGATGGCCCCTGCACACACACACACACACACACACGTGTGTGTGTGTGTGTGTGTGTGTGTGTGTGTGTGTGTGTGTGTCCAAGCCCTGTTTTGGTCATGCAGAATGGGATTTATTTGCAAGTAGGAGGTCAAGGCAAAATGGGGTTGTATGGACCCTTATACGTATGACCGGTGTCCTGTAAGATGAGAACGTTGGGACAGACGGGCCACATAGAGAAAGATGTGAGAGGCCGGGAGGGGCAGCCAGCTGCCAGAGCTGTGAAAGTAATGGTTTCTGTCACTCTGTCTTCACTGTTTTGCTATGACAGCCTTTGCAGGCGAGTAAAGGCGACAGTTAGGGAGCCCCAACCCTAAAGTGGCTTTGCACAGCGCTCCCGATCGCCTGGCTCCTGTGCCCATATCCTTGCCATAGAGTTTTCCTCTGTTTTGCTCTAAAAACAATATGAAAAAATGTTTATTTTTCACTTTTAAGCTTTGCTAACATTTGCCTGTCACCAACCTGAGGTTGGATGGACATTTACAAGAAAAACACTAAGGAGGGGCTGGTGAAATGGCTCAGTGGTCTAAAGCACCTACTTAGAACAAGCTCAGCAAAGCACAGGGACCGCGGTTCAATCCCCCAGCACCACATGCCAGCCAGCCCCGCCCCCTGGTGGGCTGAGCTGGCCACACACACACACACACACACACACACACACACAAATAAATAAAATTAAAAAAGAAAAAAGAAAAACACTAAGGAATTTCTCAGCTACAAACTGGCAGCGCGCAAAGGCCCAGCTTGGCATTCCCTCTACAGGTGCCAGGGTCCTGTCCTACCCGCGGGCAGCTCGGAAAACTCCCGGCCCGACCTGGCCTGCGCCTCCCACCTCAACACCAACCCTGCCCTGCACCCCGACCCTGCTCCTAACTGAATCCTGCTTCCCAGGGCCACACCTTCGGTCCAGCCTGCTATGCCTTCCCTTCGCCTTCTCTGTCCCCTAGGCAACGCGTCATGGTACCCATGGAAACAGACTCCCTCTCCTCCTCTGCGGAGGTGGGGCAGGACTGGGTCCAGTGGATGGGGTGAAGACTTGGGCCAAGGACAAATGGTGACATGTTCTGAATTAATTCAATTTACATTTACATTTCAGGGTCCTTTTGACTTTGAGGAATGCCAGAAGTCACATGGCTGAGTGTCTTAGGCAGGACAGGTCAGATGAAGAAGCTGAGGACACACCATCCTGGTCTGACCATCCTTCTTTTCCACCAGACAGCATGGACAGCAGCATTCACCTTATTTTTTTTTTAAACCACATCCTATAAACACACAAAAGAGGAATGCCAAAACTGCTTCCAAAAGTGGCAAGAAGAATAGGATGTGTGATAGAAGTGAGGGGAAATATTTTAAGTACAGTTAATGGCAACATGCCTTTTGATGTAATAATGTTTAAAATTTAGACCTCTGGTCTCCTTTTGTATGTACATAGTGTGTGTGAATATGCATATGCTTTGGGTTATTGTCTTTGTGCTATATTTTGGTCAAAAATCCCAAAGAAGGAGAAAATTGCAAGGGAAAATTTTTCACCTCTAAGTTTTAGTACTATAAATTGAAAAAAAAAAAAAGAGTCTAGGTTTTGTGAAACCACATGCTTGTGTTAATTTGGAATTCTTTGTTAAGAAAATAATCAGAAAATTATGAATACAAAATCACTATATAAATTTTAAGAATCTGGCAAACCACAAAAATTAAAAATCCAGTATGTTATTTTTTATTAACTACTGCCCTGTCATGCATTTTTAATATCACTTTTGCTAATGTTTGGGGCTGCAAGCTCTGTTCCTTCACTTGCAATATTTTTATTATTTTCTGCAGAACAGCAAGATTACTCACTAGATTCAATAGCTGAACTTCCTCTAGCACAGGTAATCTAGATTTGGTTTTGTTGTTACAGAAGAGTTTCCCTCGCTTAGGAAACTAAGCGAGCTTCTCTGCACGGCCCTTCCCAGCTCCTCAGAGCGGCCCAGGGCCACCCGCGCTCCTGCTGCCCTAGTCCAGTAATGCTCACGCCCACTCTTGCGGGCCTCACCCCACCCCGCCTTCGTGCTGCCCCACCACAGCGCCCCTTAGTGTGTGGGGTCAGATTACTGCAAGCACGATGCAGAACAGCAGCTGACGCCAATCATTTCCTTGGGGGCCAAGGTGGAAATGCATGAGATAGAGGGAGGGCAGGTCTCTAGCTGATGGCAGTCCAGTTAAGGCAGACACCGTGCTGGGGGTCCCCGGCCCACCCTCGGGGACAGGGCCACCGTGGCAGCCCGGGCTCTGTCCCTCCACTTCCCCACTTCTGTGAGGCCCCCCACTTCTTGGAGAAGAATGCGTGGAAGTATAGACGGGGCGTATCCCCCGAAGGGTCCTGAAAGCTAGGATTCTTACCTTCCGAGTAGATTTTACCCCTGAACACATACTTTCCTGGCAGGTTAGAACCTCTCCTCTTCTCCACACACCGCAGCCCTATTCGCTGCTGCACAGGTCGCGACGCTGTGACCTCACTTCTGGAGCCCCCCGAATGAGAAGCGCAGCCCATGCAATCGGATCCATGCTTTTTATTAGAACACTGACCCCAGAGCCTCGCAGCACGCGCCACTGTCCCCGAGTCCCTACATCGCGCTGTGAGGCCGGCGCCTTCCGGGTCGCTATCCCTCTCTTCTCAGTCACTTCCTTCCCAGGGCAGACGGTTGACAACGACCGCTGAAGGTCGGCCCAACAGTCCTCCTCCGGCTCCCCCAACCGCTCCCCCTGAATCGATGTATCACAGTCTGTCAAGTCCGGCACCTCGCATCACATTTCAACAAGTCCCGTAACAAGTTATCATTTTTTTTGTCTTTTTCTTTGCATACAGAACCACGTAACTGAACATCGGCAGCGACAGTCTGACGCCAGCGACGGCCTCCCGCCCGCCGCGCTCAGGCCTCGCGGCCGCCGCCCCCCAGGCTGAGCCGGCCGAGCAGGGCGC